TGCCTAGTTTATTGGGCAAATTAACCTTGGTTGTCATTGCTAAACTAGTAATGGGCATAACCGGCAGGCAGTGTCCTGGTATCTTTTTTTCCTTCTAGAATTTGTTTAGTGCTTTAGAATATATAAATGTAGTGCATCTTTTTAAGGTTTTTGTGGTTGCTATGTTGCGGAAAACATGATCACTCTAACGGGATTGAGGGAAGGTTTATAAGAGAAATAGCATGTGGGCAATCTTTGCAAGCAGCATGGCATGTATAGTCTGCAGAATTAACCTCATGGATCTACAGGCAAACTCAACACATGAGGAGAACAGGAAAGACGGTCCCTGTGTTGTGGGGACCTGGGCACTGCGGAGAGACCCAAAAGATGCAACCCAAAGCCACAACTGTTCTTGTCCTTCGATTCAGTAACCTAGCTTCAAGACTTGTCTTGCTTGGGCAGCAGTTCTGGCTAAGCGGCTTAAGTCCCAGTCTATGTCATGCGCATCCCATTGCCAAGCACTGGTTGGAGTCCTGGCTGCTCCACTTCCCATCCAGCCCCCTGCTAATGAGCCTGGGGAAGCAGCGGGAGTTGGCCCGAGTGCTTGGTTCCCTGCCAGCTGCGTGGGGGGACCCAGGAGCTGTGGGCTCCTGGCACCAGCCTGGTTCTGCCCTGGTTGTGGCCATTTGGGGAGTGAGCCAGCAGACGGCAGATTCTCTCTCTTCTCCCTCTGTCACTTGGCCTTCCAAATAAGTCTTTTTAAAAAATAATTGTATTGCAAGGATACAAAAATTAGAACAATGGATGGTATTCTTGGTAAATTTTTTTACTCTTCAACAGGAGTGGAAATATGACTCATTCAGAACATGGAGTATAATGAAGGCATAAAGCTATTTTAATATGTTGTGATAAGAAAAACACAATGCCAAAGACATGAAATGCATAAACAGATAAAAATAATACTAAAGACAGCTGGAAATGAATACTAAAAATATTATGATGAGAGTGGTAGAGTCCGTTTACAAAGTTTTATATGCTAATAATTTTTTCCCTGACTATACATGAATGCAGGAATATACTCTTGCTGTATACATTTAAATCCCACAGAAGTATACAAAGTAAGTAGTGGAGGTCCCTTTACCTTCCTGCCCCCAGCCAGTAGATCGGTGTGAGCGCAAGTTCTTTCCTGCAGTTACACACACATTCTGTATAGTGCCTTTTTTTTTTTTTTAATTTATTTGACGAGTTATAGACAGAGAGAGAGACAAAGGTCTTCTTTCCGTTGGTTCACCCCCCAAATGGCCACCACAGCTGGCACTGTGCCGATCTGAAGCCAGGAGCCATGAGCTTCCTCCCAGTCTCCCATGCGGGTGCAGGGCCCAAGCACTTGGGCCATCCTCCACTGTCCTCCCAGGCCACAGCAGAGAGCTGGACTGGAAGAGGAGCAACCGGGACTAGAACCGGCGCCCATATGAGATGCCAGCGCCACAGGCGGAGGATCAATCAAGTGAGCCATGGTGCCGGCCCCTGTGTAGTGCTACTTTAACATAAGTGGTATTTCTTGCAACTTGATTCTTTTTAAAAATGTATTATGCATTTTTCTAGATCAATATAGTGCCACATCAATATTTTTGACCACTATATATAGAAAAGTGCGATCTAATGTTTCCCAGTTCTCATACATTTTTCTTCTAAGCTTTAAAATGATAAATGATCTTGCAAATGACCCTGTTGTACAGTTAGTTATCTTGGCACAACATTAATTTAAGCTTTTCATTTATTCATTGGTCACTTATAGTTCCTTACAGATGTCCTATTTGTCTTTTCCTAATTTTCCTATTTCAATATTTATTTTTATACTTAAAGGAGCACTTTCTATTTTTACTGAGATTTCACTGGATTTAGAGACTGGTACACCTTACAATATTTTCACCCAGAACATCTGCTTCCTCTTTTAATCTGCTCGTCTTTTCCCTTGGCCAAATTTTGCTCTATTCTTTGTATCTTATTGATGCACTTCTTGCTATAATTTATATAAGGATGACATTTCCAATAGCTACTTACATCACTAGATAAATTATCAACAGGGGCCGGACACTGTGGCACAGTGGGTTAAAGTCCCAGCGTGCAGCACTGGCATCCCATATAGGAGCTGGTTCAAGTCCTGCCTGCTCCACTTTCAATCCAGCTCCCCACTGGTGTGCCCAGGAAGGCTCCCCTGCCCCACGTGGGAGACCCAGAAGCAGTTCCTGGCTCCTGGCTTTGAACAGCTCAGCTCCAGCTGTTGTGGCCATTTGGGGAGTGAACCAGTAGATGGAAGACCTCTCTGTCTCTCCCTGTCTTTCAAATAAATCTTTAAAAATTTCAACTGAAGTAATTACCAGCTACAGTTGAAATCATGCTAGTTTTTTTGGTGTAGGATTAGCAAGTATTTATTGTATGAATGGAAAATCAATCATGCTAGTTTCTTAAAGCTATAATAAGCTGTCAAACAATAACTCAGATGAGTAACTATTAGCCTGTTGATTTGCTTGTATATAGGGGAATCATTGGATTGGTTTAATTTCTTCTAACATGCCAAAAACCAGGATTTAAATGAGGAAACATAGAAGAATCACATTTTGGGAAAAATAAACTGTTTCCTCTCCCCTGGGCAACTGTTGACACTCTGGTGGTAAGCAGAGGCCAGATCAGGATGTTTCATGCAAATATCCTTGGGCAGCTGCTTCCACAAGCCTTGGCCATCGCACTGTGAAGTCTTCACACAGGCCTGTGGGCGCCTTCCTCCAGCACCTGCATTTCCACTTTCCTCATGGAAATCTCTCGGATCCTTAACCTCGGCTGATCTGGGCATACAATAGCTACTACGATTTATTTCCTGGTATGGTTTAAAAAATAAAAATATGAAAACTTTTTTTTTTTTTGACAGGCAGAGTGGACAGTGAGAGAGAGGGACAGAGAGAAAGGTCTTCCTTTGCTGTTGGTTCACCCTCCAATGGCCACCTTGGCCAGCGCACCGCACTGATCCGATGGCAGGAGCCAGGTACTTCTCCTGGTCTCCCATGGGGTGCAGGGCCCAAGGACTTGGGCCATCCTCCACTGCACTCTCTGGCCACAGCAGAGAGCTGGCCTGGAAGAGGGGCAACCGGGACAGAATCCAGCGCCCCGACCAGGACTAGAACCCGGTGTGCCGGCGCCGCAAGGTGGAGGATTAGCCTAGTGAACCGCGGCGCCGGCGAAAACTCAATCTTACCCTTCCAGAGGTGAGATCTACAAGAACAGCTTGGAAAATGTGGATGAAGGAGAGCCTGCTTTATTTATTTATTTTTAGTGAATAAATTTTGAATAGGTATTTTTAAACTTATAGTAAAATTCACCCTTTTTGGTGTACAGTGCTGAGCTTTGTCAAATGCACATTTGTGTCACCTCTACCACAATCAAGATACAAAATCGTATACAACCACCTCCAAAACTTCACTCACATTGCCCCCTGGTGGTTGATCTATGACCCTCTCATCCCTGACCCTGTGGTACTCACTGTTGTTTTCCATCTCGGTAGGTTTTTCTTTTTGGGTCTGGCTTCTTCCTCCTAGGGTAGTGTGAGATTTGTTGATGTCATTTGCATCAACAGTTAGTTGCTTAGTATTAACGAGTAGCATTCTCTTACGTGGATGTACTCTAGCTTGCTCACCCAGGTGCCAATTAAAGGACAAGAGGATTGCTTCCTGTTTATGGCCAATGTTGAATAAAGCCACTGAAAACATTCTCGTTCAGACTTTTATATGAACATCAATTTTTATTTCTGTTGGGTAAGTCGTGAAGAGTGGGATTGTTGGGTCATGAAAAGAGTATTTTTTTGTGTATGTTAAATCATCCTTGCCTTTCTGAGACGAATCTCCTTAGATCATGAATATCATGTTTTTGATGCGATGGTTTTGGTTTTTTAGTGTTTTTAAGATGTTTGTTTTCACCTACTTGAAAGGCAGAGCAACAGAGGCAGAGACAACTTCCATCTACTGGTTCACTCCCCAAATGCCTGCAACAGCCAAGCCAAAGCCAGGAACCCAGGACTCAGTTTGTGTCTCTCACATGGGTGGTGGGGATACAAGTACTTGAGTCATTGCCTGCTGTCTGTCAGGATTCACATTAGCAGGTAGCTGGAATAGGAAGAGGACCCTGCTGATGAGATCTCTCAAATAGGACACACACACACACAAAAAACCACTAAGAGTAAAAAGGGAAAATCAGTATATAATTTGAAAGTGAGAGACACAGTTCTCCCACTCCCTGGTTCATTCCTCAAATGCCTGTAACAGCTGGGGCTGAGCTAGGCTGAAGTCAGGAGCCTGGAACTCTATCTAGGTTTCCCACGTGGGTGGCAGGGAACCAGCTATGTGAGCCATCACCAGCTGCCTTCCAGACCATGCATTGGCAGGAAGCTAGAATCATGGAGCAGAGTGAGAACTCAAACCCTGGCACTCCAATGTGGAATGTGGGCATCCTAAGTGGTATCTTAGCCACCAGACCAAATGCCTACCCCTATTATCTTGTTATATTTACAATCTTTGAAACATACATTCTTCAAGTCTATGTCAGTTAGCAATTTCTTCTCAACTCCAAATTGACTAATCGATGTCTATTATGCAAAAATATATACTTCTGCTTTGCCAGCTGGAACAAAGTCCATCTATTAACATAGAGGGTGCTGGAGGGGCTCTAGTTCCATCCTCTTGCCATGCCACCAAAGCACGTGGTTCCTCCACAGTTGGGCTCCTGCAGGGGCAGATGAGCAGCAATGCCCAACAGTTAGCAGGCTCCCTGGCACCCACCAGGGAGATGCCACACCAGGATCGCACAGACTGTAAGTCCCGTCCCAGAGAGTGGCTCTCCCAGCATCCCCCTGAGAAGTTTTGAGGACTTTAGCTTCTTGGCCTTTTCTGAAACTGACAGGTGCCTACGGAGGAAAATCAGTCCAAATGCCAAGGTTACCTTTGGGTTTCCTTCCTCTTTTGATCTTGGTAGCAGCAGAAGTGGTAGAAAATGGTGAGACCTGGGTATACTGTGAAGGTTGAAGGTGACAGGATTTTACTGATGGGAATGTGGGAGCAAGACATAAAGGGTGATATGAAGGGGTCATGTTAAGCAGAAGCGAGGCATCGGTGCATTGTAGGTCCTGCTGACATCAAGGATTGTTGGATATTGGGAGGAGTGAACCAGAAATATGGCATGAGAACATAGCAGACTTGGTGGTGAGAAAACAAATTCCTACTTTAAAATATTCTTTTATTTGCATATCAAATGCATTTCAACATATATTAATATTTATCACATTTATTTTCAGAGGTAATTGAATAATTTACTATGTAGTACAGATCACAAAATATAATTTCTGAATTCCAAGCTTTCTTGTAATGTTGTGTGAAGTGCACCAGAATTAAACATTACTGGTCTTAATCGGAAGTCAATCAGAATCTTTGTTACCAATGATTCCAGAGATTTAAGGAGATCAACTCCATCACCAGGTTACTGTACCTATAGAATTAAAGAGGTAGTATATATGATTCAGAAAATAGGTTCTGATGTTGAAATCAGCGGTATCTGTGTGTGTGTTGGAGACAACATGGAAAAAAGAAACCTAGATAACAATTATGTTTTCTTAGGAGTAAACAATCCCATGAATATCATTTAAACAATCCCATGAGTATCATTAAAAATTGCTTTTTCAATCTGAAATAAGGTTTTTAAATGTTCAGAAAAGGAGCTAATTTTTCTCAAGCACAGATCTTATTATTGATTTATCTACAGATTTTGGAAAGTTTTTGTTCATAAAACTCATGTTATTAGTGTTGACATATTTCATTGATCAAAGCACTACTTACTTGAAAGAACTGATAAAGTATATGAAGTGACAGATTTTGAAACCCAGTCAAAACCACCCAGTCCCTGTGGAATGGGAGCATTCGGGGCAGCCTCTCTAGCCTCGTGCTGGGAAATGTACAATTTCAACCAAGTGTTTTGAAAAATTGAAAACTACTCACAGACTTTTCTCATCAACTACTCTTTATCTTTCTGGTACCTGTTTGGGGGCAGTCAACCCATTAAGGAAGGGGATGTGGATATCTGTTTTTCCATTTTTTTTTTCAATTCCATTTTAGTGTTTTCTCTTTCCTGTTTTCACATGGTCCCTCATGGATATATGCCAGGTCTTCAGAAGTTTATGGAAAATACTTTTTATGAAAAAAGCTATGCTTTTCTATTTTTTTTACATCAACATGAACTTATCCTTTAATTCCATTTTCCATAAACTCTTTGAAGCACCCTCCTTATGTCTCTTCTTTCCTTCCTTTTCCTTTAAACCCAGTGTCTGCTCCCTTTCCCCTTCCTGTCTTCTCACTGTGGGCTCAGAAGGGTTCCCTCCCCCAGTGTTTCACTTCACTCCTCTTATACTGTGATTCCAACGGCAATGTGTTGCTGTTGGGCTCATTCCTTCTTTTTACAAGGACTGTGGGTAGGATAAGTACAACGGTTTTGAATGTGCCTATGTAGTGATCCACAAATGTAAGATTCATGAATACTTCACAAATGTAACATGTAGTTATTCATTGCATAGTCCCTGTGTCATCCATGTCTTCAGTTCAAGTTGGAACATCAATAAACTCTTGAGTTCTTCATGTGGCTTGGCATCCTGTGATTAAAAGATATTACAAATCAACAACAGTGTAAACCTTGGCTTAATACTTTTGCATTTTTCTACTGCCTTGGGGCAAATTTTTATTCTTACTCTCTAGTTCAAGCTATCTAGTCATTGATGCTTTAAGGTAAGTGAGACTCTAATGCTGGAATCTGACTTTGCTCCCAGCTTCTTATGGATTCCCCGTGACTGTGGGTCACGCCTTGCCTGCTCATTTCGTAAGGTTCGTGGGGTTAACGTCTGTGCAAGTCCCTCTTCCCACCATGCTTCACACCCATAATAGACCCGTGAGCTGTGTATTCACTCCACAGATGAAAACCTGGGCTACAAGGAGGTCTAGTTAAGTCACCCACGGTCCTATGGCAGGGAATAGCCAGAAGTTTAACTCCCATTCCCAGTCAGCAGTGGTAAGCACCATGCTTTAGCATCTTCCTGGATAAGCCAACTTCCAAATGCACACACTGACTTAGTGACCTCGCACTACCCTCATCTTGGCTCCACTTCACTCACTCACTCACTCACACAGAAGCACCTCTGTTTCGCCGATCTTCTTTCAGAACTGCTTCCAGAGCTTGAACTTGGCCGTCTCCTGCCTCCTCCACTTCCACGACTGTGGAACTTGCCCAGGGCGTGCATGGATCCCTCCTGGGCTCTCCCAGTTCTGACCCCTGCCCCTCTCCTGCCTAAACGTACTTCTCTGCTATGTCAAGAACACTTGGCATTGCTCAAGGTCACCCTGCAATTTTCCACCTTCTTACTGGACCTCTACTTTCTATCGGGAATATCCTCCCAACTGTCCCTCCCCTCTTTTTCAGATTAGTGAAACCTTCCTTTTGTCTTTAAGCCACTCCACAGTTTGCCACCTTCAGCCCCCTGAATTACTGCCTGTCTGCGATGCTCTTCCTGGATGTCCTGAGTCCTCAGAGTTAATCTCATCATCCCCACACTTACCTGGTACAACAAATACTCTGCTTCCTAGAGTCTGCTTTGAAATATAGTTGGCTGCAACTTCCCTTAGCCTGCCCTCTGGCCTATAACCATATTTAGGAAGAATACAAAAGATATTCTAATCTGACCCTAATGTTACTGGGTAAAGACAATGAAGCCATTTTTAAAAGACAAGTCATGGCCACAGGGAGAGACAGAAATTCATTGCTTCCTTCTTTCCTTCCTCGAATGCAGATTAAAAATAAAATCACATGTCAACCAGGCATTAGGTCAAAGTTCTACTTTTCTTAAACATTAATTTCTATTTTTTAAAATTTTATTAAATATTTAATTTTTTCTAATTTACTAATTTCCAATTTTTCAGGCCCTCTGTAAGTCTCTATTTTTCTTAAACATTAATTTTTAATTAGCATATAATAACTGTAATGTGTTAGGGGGCACAGAGTGCTGTTTTTAGACCTGCATAGACTGTGCCCTGATCACATCAGGGTAATTCACAGTCCCCTCTCCTCATTAGTTTATATGTGAAGACTCTGAGCTCTTCTGTCTGGCCATTCATGAAGCACATGCATAGTAATTACCGTCCTCTATAGCACCCCCCACCCCCGTGTGCCGTGGAACACTATTACTGCTTTTCAGATGCCCTTCACCTACTGGCAGAGAGAGCTACTCACTGTAACATGATATGATAGGTGTTTGTGGAGTGAATAAATGAATGTATAAATAAACGGCACACGTCAGGGAATGTACTGTTTTTGTAGCTACATTATACGGTCCTTTAGATCACAAACACACAGAACACAGGCTCTGTAATTCAGCTAATAAAACTGCATCTCAAGCCCTTGAAAGCAACGTGAAATTGATATGTGACAGACACACTGATCTCCATCCATCCAACCACCCATCCATCCAACCATCCATCCAACCACCCATCCATCCATCCAACCATCCATCCATCCATCCAACCATCCATCCAACCATCCATCCATCCATCCAACCATCCATCCAACCATCCATCCATCCATCCAACCATCCATCCATCCATCCATCCAACCATAAATCCAGAGAGAGACTTACTGGAAATGGGGGGGGGGGGGCGTCTCCCACATCACTGTCTAGTTTTTCTCTTTCCATTTTATCAGAATTTTCCTCCTGCACACCAATACCCTCAAATAGTTTCTCTTTCATTGTTAATTGGGTAGACGTTCACCTCAACCAGACCAAAGGCTCTCTACAGACTTTCCACTGAATGCAGTATTTGCTTCATTTACTTATTTTTTTTACATTTGAACGTTCTTGTACCATCAGCCCTTCCCAGTCATCAACAAGTTAGGATTTCTGATGGGCTTGGTGCCGGCTTCATCAGGGTGCAGAGACAGTGTCTCGGGCACACGGCAGTGCGTCCCCACCACACACGGGACAGCTTACCTGGAAAATCCCAGTCCGCTCTAACTAAAGTGCATCAGGAATGAGCTCCAGTTGGGTGGTGTGAGGGGCAGTTTTATTTGAAAATGATTCCAGAACCTGTGGAAGAGATAAGAGCAGGGAGGATGTTTTGGAAACTCGCAGGTGTGTGCTACGCTGGGATCTTTTCAGTCCTATGCCCTCGCTCCCCTGTCTTGCCTCAGCTGGTCACAAAGCTTAGGGTGCTCAGAAGGTCAGGACATGGACCACCCCTTAATCATGATGCTGTCTTGTTCTTCTTGTACTATCATGTGCCTGGCTTTAAGGAATACACATACATGAAAATCTGCATTGATATGCACTACACAAAGGCATTAGGGGAGCTGGCGCTGTGGCATAGTGGGTAAAGCAGCCACCTGCAGTGCCGGCTTCCCAAATGGGCACCAGTTCAAGTCCCAGCTGCTCCACTTCCGATCCAGCTCTCTGCTATGACCTGGGAAAGCAGTGGTGGATGGCCCAAGTCCTTGGGCCCCTGCACCCATGTGGGAGACCTTGAAGAAGCTCCTGAATCCTGGCTTCAGATCAGCACAGCTCTGGCCATTGTGGCTATCTGGGGAGTGAACCAGCAGATGGAAGACTCTCTCTCTCTCTTTCTCTCTCTCTCTTTCCCTCTCATCTCTCTGTGTAACTCTGCCTTTCAAATAAATAAATAAATTTTGTTAAAAAAAGAGTCATTATGGGACCTTCTTATACTAAGACCATTGCTATCAAAACACAGCTTAACAAGATGGTCGTGAGCACCCACAGCCAGCAGTTACCAAGATGAGACTAGTTTCTGAAGAAACCTCCAGAATCTCCCCTCAAAGCAGCCACATTCTGTCTCTGCCAGAACAAAACAGCAGGTGTCTGCTCTGTTGAATGCAATGGAACTTGGTATGTTTTACAGCTGTTAAAGAGATGTGATGTTGACTGGTGCATTGCAACAGGGAGGATCCTGAAGACGCGCTGATGAGTAAAAATGCAAGTTACGGAGCGCAAGGAGTGGGACTGCGTTCAAAAGCAATCCAACACCTCCACTCCCTCCCCACCCACCACGTGGGATAATATATTGAGAGAAATGTTGACAGGTCCAGAAATGAGCCTGGGAGGACTCACACTGAGCCTTCAGCGGGAGCTCCTGGGAGGTGCCAGGTGGCATTACCCCTTATTTTATGTACTTCCACATTCTTTAACATTTTTGTGTAAAGACTTGGAATGGTTTATTGCAAGGTTACTATCAATACCTTGCAGAGCACAATCTGCCACGTTTCCATGTGTTTAAAATAATGGATGTAAAAATGGTATATAATTGTCTAAATTGAAGTAACTCTTGGTATAGAGGAAAATGCAACTTACAGAAGAGTATAGGAGCATCACAGCACTTCACATCTGGAGAAAGTCCTAGAGAGCTAGTTTCAACTTTCTATTTATTAATCTGACAAACCAGGCACCATGATGCAAAAGGACTCACACGAGGTCCTGCAGCTCATTGACGGGAGACTCCAAACCAGATTGCCTGACTCACAGCCCTTTGTGTTTGTGACTATCCTGCTAAAACAACCTCAAATGAGCCCAGACTCCCTGGATTTTCTTCCCTATGGGCAACTTGTGTTGTCAAGAGCAGGTATGGACTTTCAATCATGAGTTGTCTTCCTCGCACTTCATCACCCATGCAACTTTGGGACACCTTGGTTAATCTGAGCCTCACGTTCCTCATGGTGTAACTATTGAAACACTATCAACACTGAAGTATTGTGAAGACTAAAGTTTGGAAATAACTTATGAAGAGCTTGACATACACAAGGTTGAGCTATGCAATCTTCCAATCGCTCCATACTTTCCTACCCAGAACGGAACACAATCAACCTCTCCCTTTCTTAAGGACACTCATAAGGTGACTTCCTTGCACTGCCATCACCTTGGCAGGATGCTCCGTGCCAGAAGATCGAGGGTCCCTGCCCCCGGACACCACTGTGGTCACAAGCGGAACGTGCATGGGAGTGGTCTATGGTCAGTGCAGTGAGCCCCAGGTCCAGCAGGAAAGTGACCTGTTATCAGCTCGTGTGCTAGGATCTCCAAGAAGAAACGTTACACCTGTGAAAGGTTGACTTTCCTGCAAAAGCTCCTCCCCAGGCTAACTGGCTGGAATCAGTGAGATCCAAGATGGCCGCAAGCAGATCTCAGCCTCATTCTAATCTTATTTACATGCTACAAGTCCCTCCCACTGGCACCATAACAACCAGCAGACGAGACCATAGAAGTACAAAAAGAAGGCTGCCTCTTCCCGCTGGAAAAGCCACCGGCACCCCTTCCACCTCCTAGCACATTTCTCTCCCTCACCCCTGTTGCCCCCTGTCTGTGACTCCTGAACCCACAGCAGGCTGAGAGGTTTACATGTGAGCTAGGTCGCTGCTTCTCCACCCTGTGGCTGCTAAGTAAACCTTGTGCTGTTGTGCTTAAGAAATAAAAAAAACTTTTAATATAATTTTAAAGTGCCCAAAGGAAGAGAAGTTTAAAAAAAAAGAAATTTTAATAAACACTTGGGTTTGGAACCTCAGTGTATAATTAGACGGTGGGTTTTACTTATGCATTTTAAATATTTCTGCATTTTTTTCAGAGGTTCGGTGGCAATGGTAAGACAGACTCTTTTCTCCCTGGGCGATTATTTTAAATAAATTATAAAAATAGCCCCTCTTGAGATTTCAACTCAAAGATTCCACACGTGTTGCTAAGTACTTACCCCGCTCTAGAGCGTGGGGAGGCAGAGACTCTGGGGGCCCCTTCCATCAACCGCCCACCCACCAACTCCACGCCTGCGGTTGGGCAGAGGTGAAACGTGACGGGGCAGTCAGCGTGATTCAGTGGCCACGTCCTGGCTCCCCAGACAGCCCCTGTCCGCGTATGGCAAACAGCTTTTCTTTCCTTCAACGCTTTTCCCTTTCTTAAACCAAACCAGTTTCCAGAGGGGTCACCCAGAGGAGTGAATGATTCTTGTCAATGTGTGATGCTTCCCTCACCAGCTCTAAGACCAGCTGACAAAAGCATGCAGCTCCAGTGAGGGATCTGTGTGCATCTGTCAGGTTTGAGGGGTGCAGGCGGTCCCCTGAGAGGGCCCTCGGGTGGCAGGTGCTTTCAGACTCACAGGTGATGGTAAATGTCGGGGTCCCGCTGGAGCCGGGTTTGGAAGCCTATGTACAAGTCATCCCAGAGCAGCCCGTTCTTCACCACGTGTCTGATGACGTCAACACGGCTGCGAATCTGAAACAGACACAGGGTGTGCTTGCAGGGACGCTGTGCGCAGCACCAAGAAGCAAGCCCTCTCCTCCCTGGGGGAAGCAGCTGCCTGCTGGCAGGCGTGAGGCAAGTCTGGGACCCAAGTCTCCCGGAGCAGGCATCACAGGCCGAGCAAAGCAGAAAGCTCAGGAGGCAGAGGAGGAAGGTCCAGAGCCCAAGGACGCAGCCAAGATGAGACCACAGGTTCAAATCCAGGCTCTGCCTGAGTGATCTTGATTCTAGGTCTTGGTTCCCTCATCTATAAAATGAAGATGACAAAGGAGCTATGTCCATTGAGTTGTTTGTGAGGATGAAATGAATTGATGTGTACAGAGTGCTTAAAACAAGGCCAGGTGCACAATAAGCATTCAATAAATGGTTGCCTCCAATATCAGTCCAAAAAGCAGAGTTTGGCATCTGCCTGAGCACCATGGGGCAGAGAAGAGCCAGGTCACTGTAACCTGTGGGTCCAGCCCGCCCAGAGCAGGACTGCCCTCCTTCAGGTGCCCTCAATCGCCTGTTCACAAAAGTCTTAACTTTTTTTTTTTTTTTTGGATAGGCAGAGTGACAGTGAGAGAGAGAGACAGAGATAAAGAGAAAGGTCTTCCTTTTTCCATTGGTTCACCCCAGTAATGGCCGCTGTGGCCGGTGCACCGCGCTGATCCAAAGCAAGGAGCCAGGTGCTTCCTCCTGGTCTCCCATGCAGGTGCAGGGCCCAAGCACTTGGGCCATCCTCCACTGCACTCCCTGGCCACAGCAGAGAGCTGGACTGGAAGAGGGGCAACTGGGACAGAATCCGGCGCCCTGACTGGGACTAGAACCTGGTGTGCCGGCACCGCAGATGGAGGATTAGCCTATTGAGCCGCGGCTCCAGCAAGTCTTAACTTCTAACCCGGAAGCTGTTGAACAAAGAATTCTGTGTTAGAGACGAGATAGATGTTCCTAGTCCCCAGCGGTGCCTGGGCTGAGTTTGCGACCTGCAGCTTGCTGAGCCTTGGTTTCACTGTGACAGGAGTTGAGAGGGAGAAAATGAGGTCATTTATATAAAGAGCACAAAAAAGGGGCACCCTGAGACTGGACACGGCTGTAACAACCCGAAGTGGTGACGTCAGAGTGGACCAAGATCTCCTCCAGTGTCAGTGTCACGCTGGCTGCCCCTGGTAAATACCCAACTCAGGCCAGTGCCGTGGCTCACTAGGCTAATCCTCCACCTGCGGCGCCGGCACACCAGGTTCTAGTCCCGGTCGGGGTGCCGGATTCTGTCCTGCTTGCTCCTCTTCCAGTCCAGTTCTCTGCTGTGGCCCGGGAGTGCAGTGGCTCAAGTGATTGGGCCCTGCACCTCATGGGAGACCAGGAGGAGGCACCTGGCTCCTGGCTTCTGGCAGGATATGGACTTGTGATGCCCAGAGCAAGAGGCTCCCCATGTTGGCACTTAGGGGTCCCCTGGCCTCCTGTCTGGCTGCTCACCTTCAGACTGTGAAGCATCCTGGTGACCCCCACAACAAATTCAGCCTAGCTCTTGTCCCATGCAGGCTATAGTCCTTTTAAAAGCAAAGAATTAGGCCAGCGCCACAGCTCACTAGGCTAATCCTCCACCTGCGGCACCAGCACACCAGGTTCTAGTCCCGGCTGGGGCACCAGTTCTGTCCTGGCTGCTCCTCTTCCAGTCCAGCTCTCTGCTGTGGCCAGGGAGTGCAGTGGAGGATGGCCCAAGTGCTTGGGCCCTGCACCCACATGGGAGACCAGGAGGAGGCACCTGGCTCCTGGCTTCTGATCGGCACAGCACGCTGGCCATAGCGGCCATTTGGGGGTGAACCAACGGAAAAGGAAGACCTTTCTCTCTGTCTCTCTCACTGTCTAACTCTGCCTGTCAAAAAAAAAAAAAAAGTAAAGAATTAATTTTTTACATATATAACTCTGGAAATTTCACATGAAAATCCAGACTGCCAAATGTTCTGGAAAATTCAGAACTCCACTGACTGCACATGGGGCCTGCCTTCTTCTGATCCTGCACTTGCTTCCCCCTGGATGCAGTCTCGATCCAGTTTACCCTGTTTACAAGCCTGGCCTTGGGCCACCTGTAACCCCAGCCTTCATGGAAAGCTCATAGACTTAGAGCCCTAAAGCACCTTGGGAAAAAATTTTTTATCAGTAGATCTGGATGCATGCCATAATTATCAAAAGAGATATCCCTGCAAGGGATGATGGCTCAGCTTGGCATCCACTTTCTTTAGGTCAACGGTGCATGCCACTGGAAGCCAGGGGAACAATTGCCCGCAGGTGCCCATGGAAAATGACCAGCGACCCAGGAGTACACGCTCAGCTACACCACCATACCGCAGGAGGCAGGAAGTTAGGCAGCAAGTCTCACACAGCAGGAGAGCAGGCAAGGGGATGGCAGGGCAGGATGTGGAAGCAGCCGAGGCTTGCAATAACCTAGAGAGGAGCCCACCTGACTGGGGCGGAGGATGGAGCACTGTGGAACCAGCTGTCGGGCCATAAGGAGTGGGTGTGACAGAAAATGCAATTGTGAAGATGAACGGCAATGCAAAAAACAAGAGGGGGAGGCAGTAGAGAAAGTGCTGGGTAGCAAGAAGAGGGAATGTTCCAGTACAGGCACAACCTCTGTCAGCACATCTCAGCCCAGAGAACTCTAAAATCCCGCGAGCTCTCCATCTCTTCCTCTCCCCATCACTCTGCCTTTCCAATAAACAAAATAAGCCTTAAAAAAACAAATCAGTCACGTGGCAAGTAAGATTTATCCCAAGGTAAATTTAAATCTGCAACAGAGCTGCTTGTTTTATCTAAGAGATGCATGTTGCAAAACTGTGAAAAAGTGATCTTTTTTGAGTTAAATCCATGTTTTAACATTTGAGAGGTTGAGTCCGAGAGAGAGAAAGGGCACTCCTTCTCATTGGTTCACTCCCCAAATGCCCCCAATAGCTGGGTTGGGCCGAGCTAAAGCTGGGAGTGTGGAACGCAATCGAGGTCTTCCATGTGCATGGCAGGGACCCAGGTACTTGAGCCATTCATTACCTGCCGCCTCCTACAGTCTGCGTTGGTAGGAAGCTGGAGCTAGGAGTCAGAGCTGGGACTCAATCCAGGCACCCCAGCTTGAGATATGAGTGTCTTAACTATCAGGCTAAATATCCACACCCACCCCAGGTCAATTTTATAGCCATTATTGAAAATTCTATATAGAGGATTTCTCCAAATAGCCCTTCATCCATTCACTGGTTTGGAAAACATCTACCAACACTTTATCATGTGTAAACTGTGCAGAGGTCAAGGCTCACTGGCCCCTTCCCAGTACCACATGGGGTAAGTGACTGCACCTTTTCTTTCATCTACACGTAAGATGGGGAAGACAGGAACAGCTGTTCATAGGGCTGCTGTTGGATTAAATAATCCAATATTTGCACAGTATTTAAAACCGTGGTTATCACAGGACAAGCTGGGTAAGTGTTTGTTAGCCACAAATGAAACATTTGTTTTTATGGGGCCGGTATTGTAATGTAGTGGGTTAAGCCACCATCTGTGATGCCAGTATCCCATATGGGTGCTGGCTGTTGTCCTGGCTGCTCCACTTCTGAACCAGCCTGGGAAAGCAGTCAAAGATGGCCCAAGTGCTTGGGCCCCTGCCACCCACATGGGAGACCTGGATGAAGCTGCTGGCTTTGACTTGACCATTGCAGCCATCTGGGGGGGTGAACCAGGGGATGGAAGATTGATCTCTTTCTCTGTCTCTCTCTTCCCCTCTAACTCTGTCTTTTAAATAAATATTTTAAAAATATTTCCATTTTGTTTAAAATGAGTATAAGCCAATTTATTATCTATATGGTACTTCACACAGAATTCTCCTGTACATGAAAAACCAAGCATTTTAAGATCTATAGGTCAAGCAGCAGATAATTTGTTTTGCTGAAGTTTCAACATAGGATTCTCTTCAATAGTAGGTACCAAAACACCAAGCCAATTTATTAAAATATAGCTTAAGAACAAACCTATTCCATCTATTATATTGAAGGCATTTTTAAATCTCTACAATTAGGGGATCACACTGTTAAATGGTGCATGCAATAAACTCAAGGATGGATTATATCTCCATATAACTTATCAAATGATCATTGCACTCATATAGAATTTAAATTGCAATATATGCTCACATACATTATGTCAAGAGACTAAAACAACAAATGGTAGGGTGAAAATGAGCCCAGTGGAAGGGGTTGAAAAAAAAAAGCAAGACTCGGGTTAAGTGACTGGCTCAGAGCCTTGTAGTCTGCAGCCCCTATCAGTAAGGAGGAGCACCAGTCCCAATCTTGTCGTTGTCTCCAAAGCCAGGGCTGGTTCCTTGGATCACACTGCCACAGGTGAAGGAGCTGCTCCAAACTGGAGCTCAGTGAAATACGTGTTGTTTTATGTTGATTTAATTCCCTTTACAGAGATTCCCATTGCGTTCATTCAGGGAAGGATACATCTGGCCCAAAAGGCAAAGGAAGGCAGCGATCAGGGTTTGCCGTCTAACACTTCAGGAAGAACAGGTGTTTGGAAAGGAGTAGGTGGAGAAGAGACTCTGTGAATGGTTTAAAAAGAAGTATATCTAAACATTAGTAACAGCAATGCTTCAATATGGATCCCTTGGTTGTGACAAATGTCTAATAGTGAGATAAGATGTTAACAAGTATTCTGCACTATCCTTGCAGCATTTCTGTAAATCTAAGTGACTCTAAAATTAAAGTTTACTTATAAGGGAAGGAAGGAAGGAAAAAGGAGAGAGAAGGAGGGAAGAAAGGAGGAGGTAAAGAGGGAGGGGGGGACTCCGCCACTGCTTACTTCCTCATAGGGATGCTCCCGGCTTGGTCTTTCTTTTGGAAAGGATAAATCTAGAAAGTCAACTAAATAGTCATATCCTCCAGGCAAAGGGTTGAAGTCCTCATCTGTCTCAATCATCTGCAAATGAAAACATGGTTAAAGGAAGAAAAATATCAACCAGGTAGTCACGCATCTTTTAAAAAGATTCACAGAATCTGTAAAACTGAAATGACCTTAAAATAATTGCAATGAATTAGAAGTTAATATGAAGTCACTTCTCTCTCTCTCTCATCCCTTTCCATCCCTATCTTCAGCTCTATCTCTCAGTCTCTCTCTCTCTCCTGATATAACATTCAAAACCTACTCTTTAATATTGGCAAAATTGCTTCATACCACTAAAATCAGTAAAATTTATAGAGAAGGTTCTCATATTAAGTACTGAGACATGACCTTAAATTTTCAGGTGAAGAAAATAAAATGTGGAATGTTTCTTCCACCACCCAAAGGCATTAAAAAAGTTTATAGAATATGTATTTTTTAAAGATTTATTTATTTGAAAGGCAGAAAGAGAGGGAGAGGGAGAAGAGAGAGAGGGAGAAGGAGAGGGAGAGGGAGTGGGAGAGGAGTTCCACCATCCGGTTCACTCCCCAAATGGCCACAACAGCCGGAGCTGGGCCAATCCAAAGCCAGGGACCTCCTCCCAGACTCCAGCATGTGTGCAGGGGACCAAGGACCTGGGCCATCTTCTGTTGCTTTCCTAGGCACATCAACAGGGAGCTGGATTGGAAGTGGAGCAGCTAGGACTTGAACTGGCACCCATATGGGATGCTGGCACTGCAGGTGGTGGCTTTACCAGCTATGCCACAGCACCAGCACCTGGGATGTGTATTATTAAGAAGCTACACAGGGTGGGAGATCCAAGATGGCAGGATAGGGTGCAGCCACACCAACTTCAGCTGTTCTGGGATGTGAAAAGAACAAAGGAAGGACTATGTTTCCTGAGGTCCAAGGGAAATTTTCAGGAAAAAAAGAAGTGAAAAACAACAACAAAGACTCCATGGGACCACCAGCATCAGAGTCAGGGCAACCTGTAGGGCCAAGAACAGATCCCTGTGTCCTGCCACTGTGCGACTTTCCGGGCATCAACCCAAGGACTTTGCTCACACACTCTACATGAGCCAGGGAGATTCACCTTAGCTTCTAGGGGCTAACACCTGAAGTAGCCCATTAAAAAAAAATGCTACCACCTGGGAGATCTGAATAATGACCCCACACTATTCCCTACAAACCCAGGACTATAGCAATTCATTCTAAATTTCTCAGTGCCACTGGAATCTATCCAGTGGACAAAGGGAAGAACATGCCTGCATTCTACCTCTCTGGAGTAATTACCTCCAGAGTAAAATCTCCTGTAGACCTGTAGGCACCCTGTGGGACTAGAACAGGCTTCAGTTCACATCCCCTAGTCCTAGGCCTAGGGCTGTTGGTATTAGAAGCCACAGCACCAGTTGGACTCTCCCAGCAGGACCTGATGAAGGGTCCATCTGTATCGCACAACCCTAGAGCTGGAGCAATTGGTGCCACAAGCCCCAGCATCACTCAGGCTTGCCAGTTGAGCAAGGGAGCAGCCAGCCCTGTCTCCCTCAGCACCAAGAACAAGGCTCTGGCTATCACATTTGCCAGGGAGACTGACACTTAACTCTGTGGACCAAAGATACACACCCAAGGAAACCCTTCATCTCAAAGTCACACTTCTGTCCCTACGAACTGCAGCAGACCAGTCCACTGTGTCACTTATAGACAGAGCTGACATTGATTAAGACAGAAGAAATCACTCAGAGACTACAGTCCTGGGCTCAGCTAGAACAAAAGCCAAAGCAACAAGCAAAGTGATACCCTGAATCCAAGCTAAACCATCAACTCTTTTACAATAAAACATACTCCATAAAGAAGGAGGGATAAATATACCAGATGCACAGATGTCAATGCAGGAACACAGGAGAGATGAAGAAGCAAGGCAACATGACACCTCCAAAAGAAGACAACGCCCCCAGAATTAGATCCTGAACTGAAGGAAATCTATGACAGGACACATACAGAATTCAAAGTAATGACTACAAGGAAACTCAGTGAGATGCAAGAGACTACAGATAAATGAGGAAATCAGTGAGTGACATGAGTGAAAACAAGACTAAGAAGATAGAGCTCATTAAAAAGAACCAAATAGAAATTTTAGAGATGAAATTTTCAATCAGTGAAATAAAGAATACTACTGAGAGCTTTAACAGCAGAATAGTGGAGAAAAGAATTTCTGATCCCAAGGACAAGAATTTTGAAATAACCCAATCAGATAAAAATAAAGAGAAAATAATTAAAAAAAGAAAGCCTACACAAAATATATGATTCCATTTCAAGACCAAATATTCATATTATAGGTATCCCTGAGAGATAAGAAAAGGAAAAAGGCATTGAGAACCTGATAAATAAAATACCTGAAAATTTCCCAGGTCTTGAAAGAGACATGGACATCCAGATACAAGAAGCCCAAGGAACTCCAAGCAGATCAGTCAAAAAAGATCTTCTCCAAGGCATACTGCAGTCAAATTACCAAAAGTTAAAGACAAGGAGAGAATCTTAAAGACAGTAAGAGATAGGTGTTGGGGTACATATAAAGGAAAACCAATTAGATTAACAGCAGACTTCTCAGCAGAAACTGCACAGGCCAGAAGAGACTGGGATGATACATTCAAGGTCTTATAAAACACTCCCAACCAGGAATATAACATCCAGTGAAGGTATCCTTTAGAAGTGATGGAGAAGGGCTGGTGTTGTTGTGTAACAGGTAAGACCACCACCTGTGAAGCCAGCATCCCATGTGAGTGCCAGTTCGAGCCCCAGCTGCTCCACTTCTGATCCAACTCCCTGCTGATGTGCCTGGGAGGGCAGTGGTGGATGGCCCGAGTGCTTGGACTCCTATGCCATGTGGGAGACACAAAGGAGGCTCCTGGCTTTGGTCTGACCCATCCCTGGCCATTGCAGCCATTTAGGAAATGAACCAGCAGATGGAAGATCTCTATCTCTGTAACTCGTTCAAATACTTACAATAAATCTTTGAAAGAAAAAAAGTGAAGGAGAAATAAAGTATTTTCCAGATAAACAAAAACAGAGAATTTACTACCACCTGAGCAGCCTTACAAGTAATTCTAAAGGGTGTCCTGCATTAAGAAGTAAACATGAGGGGCCAGCATTGTGGCACATCTGGTTAAGCCTCCACCTGCTGTGCCAGCATTCTGTATGGGTGCCAGTTCAAAGTCCTACTTATGCACAGTTGGTGGGTTGTAAATTAGCACAGTCACTGCAGAAAACAGTGTGGAAATTTCTTTACAAACTAGAAATAGACTTGCCCTGTGATCCAGCGATCCCACTCCTGGGTATAAACCCAGAAGACATTATACAATGTATTAATACATTGCAGCAGCATCAAGTTTATAGAAGTAATGTTTACAGTAACCACACTCTGGAATCAATCAGGCTACGATGAATGGATAGAGGAAATGTGTATAGACACACAATGGATTATTATTCAGCCATAAAAAAGAAATTCTACCATTGCAGCAAAGTGGATGCAACTGGAGGACATCATGTGGGGTGAAATAAATCGGACCCACATAGACAAATGCATGTTTTCCCTTATGTGTGGGAGCTAAAATTTAAAAAAAAAAAAAAAACAAAACAAAACAAAAGAAATGTCTGTGTGTAACAGTACTGCTCCAAATACAGTTTTGTAAATCTTTGTCTTACACCTTTGTCAGTGGTTAAGAATATTATACTACTATACTTTTCATGATTGGTGATTCCTTTAAAATTTACTGTATATGGGTGAAAGGGTCATTTTTCCATTCCATTATTGTTTATAGCTGCTGTCTATATTTCAACTAAACTAGCGTTGTTTTACTTGCTACATGTCTTATTTGGTGAAATATTAAGCCTTTCTACTCTAAATTTAAAATGTTATCTCAAAAGCTAAAAAAATGAAAAAGGAAGGAGGGTGGGAGGGAGGAAGAGAATATGTTTATGTTCTTAGAATCATATCTACAAACCACATCGAATCTGTTAAAAACAATTAAAATTTAAAAATTAAAATTAAAAACTATGCAGATTTAAAAATGCTTTACCTCAAAATCTTTTACTTCCATTTTCCATGAACTTTCTGAAATGCTACCATTTAGCAGCTAAATATGGTTTCATTGAAAATTCCAGAAGTTTTTCTCATTTTCCTACTAATTGTCTACCTGAAAATGTAGTATAGACCAGTATTTCCCAGGTCTTTGGATTTCAAAGACCATTTCCTAAAAAATATCTGGGAGTTAATATAGGGACCAACATTTAATTTAACTAAACAAAGACTGTAAAAAAAAAAATCTGGAGTTGATGCTGTGATGTAGTGGGTAAAGCCACCACTTGCAGTGCCAGCACCCACTGCTCTACTTCCAATCCATCTCTCTGCTGTGGCCTGAGAAAGCAGTAGAGGATGGCCCACACCCTTGGGTCCCTGCACCCATGTGGGAGATCCAGAGAAAGCTCCTGGCTTCTGGTTTTGGAAAGACTCAGCTGTGGCCATGTGGCCATCTGGGGAGTGAGCCAGCAGATGGAAGATCTCTCTGTCTCTCTGCTTCTCCTTCTCTCTGTGTAACTCTTTCAAATAAATAAATAAATCTTTAAAAAATCTTACATCTTCTATGCTTTTATTTCACTAGAAGAATGCTTCAATGCCTCAAAAATAGGAGAAATCTAATCCTGGAATAATAATGCATCCCAAGAAAAGAGAGTGGATCCCTTTGTCTCAACACACCTACCCTCACTCATACTTATTTTATTATTGACCAGCAAAAATTTTATCACAGACTGGCACTGACCCACAGGAAGATTTTGGGTATCACTGCTTCTGAGAGTGGCATGTGTTGCCTGGATTAACGCTCAGGGGTTGGAAGGTTAACTTGGAGAGGGTTTCTCTCCCAAGGGTGCCAGCACTCAGGGCGTGTGTGTCCATTCCTGATCATCCCTAAACCCTGCTTCTCCTATGCATCCTCAGGCCTTTGAGGTGCGTAAGCAGGGCTGGCTGGTCCCCTACCAACTCTGCAGTTACAACTGGCCCAGGTCAGACCCCGTCTTTTCTCGCATTCCCTGTCTGCTTGTACTTACTTTGCTTTTAATGTGCCTCCAGGGTTGGAGTTCAGATTATAACTGAACTCTCTCAGCTCATGGCTCTGTGAATATGTGTTGGGGCTGGTTTATGCTCCTGATCCAGGCCTGCCTCTTGGTTTAAGCACCTCAGTCCTATCGCTGAAGATACGGGCACCTGCTTCTATAGATAGATCCCACCTTCCAGCCCTGCTGTTTAAATAGCCATTCTGGCCGCACCCACAAATCCACGCCAACAGAAGAGGTGCTAGCAGATAAAAGAAACCCTAGGAGAAAACTTGTGCTGGATTTCAAGTTAGTCCCTAAATTTTCAAGGAGGGATCATTGATCCCATTGTCAAATACAATCTCTTAGGCACTTGGAAGGCTTAATGAATACTTATGGGGAAAAAAAGAGGTTTTCACATGTTTCCATAATACAAGACAGTAAAACCAAGTAATATGTAATAACATACCCTGATCACCAGGTTATAATCCTTAAAGCCAGCCCAAGTGAAGTATTCTTTTATCCAGGACGAATGAAGAAAGATTTCATCTTCTATAGCAGCATTCAAGATGTTCAAATATGGTCCAAAGTCCCAGGAATCCTTGTAGATTTTTGTCCCCTCTGGAGGCTCGGTGATGCCTTTGCTTAAAGACACAGATGAAAGAACAGGAAAGAGGGAAGTAACACAATATGAAGGCACTCTCTAGCATTTAAATGGCAAAAGCCAACCAGACTAGTGGCTTTGATGCTGCTCAAATGACTCCCAGGGTCCCAGGGAAAAGTCTCAGCACTACCCACTTAGTCTAAACCAGAGATGCACCTGCTAGTGATCTAGTGTGAGGAGTTGCACAGACAGACTTCTTTCAAAGGGCAAAGTTCAGGTCTGGGGGAAAAAAACTTCAGTACTACTTATGTGGATGCTGTGGGTCCAACTAACTCACTCATGGGGATGTTGAATAGATCTGGTCCCACTAGACTCTATGGGTATCTGCACACCCCTGCCCCACCACCTTTAGTTGGAAACAGAAACCAGCACTAAGCAGGAGCTTAATAAACACTTGTTGAATATGTGAATGACTTTAGCTTCTCTTTGAAATAGAAATTTTAGTCTTTCACACATGTTGGTTTTACTTGTACTGATCAAGACTCAACTGAAAGATACAGGCCATTTTTCCTTTGTACCCAGGCAGCAATCTGGGCAATGAAGTTCTCTAGCAATCCTAGAGTTCTGTTCATCTATGTGAAGTTAGAATCACTGCACGTGACACAGAATCTTGAGTCTTGGGCATGGAATAGGATGTGATGTATATTAATAAGTTATCCATGTGGCCCAAGTGCTCAGGCCCCTGCATCTGCATGGGAGACCCAGAAGAAGCTTCTGGCTTCAGATGGGCCCTGCCCTGGCTGTTGTGGCCATCTGGGGAATGAACCAGCAGGTGGAAGAACTTTTTCTCTGTCTCTGACTCCCCCATTTTATCTCTCAAATAAATAAACATTAAAAAAAAAAATGAAGTTATCTACAGAGCAAGTGTTGCGGTGGAGCATGCTAAGCTGCCACCTGCAACACTGGCACCCCACATGGGCACTGCTCCAGTCCCCGCTGTTCTTCTTCTTCTTCTTCTTCTTCTTCTTCTTCTTCTTCTTCTTCTTCTTCTTCTTCTTTTTGACAGGCAGAGTGGACAGTGAGAGAGAGAGACAGAGAGAAAGGTCTTCCTTTTTGCCGTTGGTTCACCCTCCAATGGCCACTGCGGTTGGCGCGCTGCGGCCGGCGCACCGCGCTGATCCGATGGCAGGAGCCAGGTACTTCTCCTGGTCTCCCATGGGGTGCAGGGCCCAAGGACTTGGGCCATCCTCCACTGCACTCCCGGGCCACAGCAGAGAGCTGGCCTGGAAGAGGGGCAACCGGGACAGAATCCGGCGCCCCAACCGGGACTAGAACCCAGTGTGCTGGCGCCGCAAGGCGGAGGATTAGCCTACTGAGCCTCGGCGCTGGCCCCGGCTGTTCTACTTCTGATCCAGATCCCTGTTGCTGCACCTGGGAAGCACTGGGGGATCCGAAAGTGCCTGGGCTCCTGAAGTCACGTGGAGAACCCGATGACTGTCCAGGCTCTGGCTTTGGCCTGGCCCAGCCCTGGTCGTTGGAGCCATCTGGGGAGTGAACCAGTGGATGGAAGATCTGTCTCTCTCTTTCTGACCCCCCTCATCTCTGTAATTCTGCCCCTTTCAAATAAATAAACAAACCCTAAAAGAAAAAAAGAAGTGAACTAGTGACCTATAAGTGCCAGCATTGTGGTGCAGTGGGTAAAGCCACCACCTACAATGCCCACCAGTTGGATTCCCGGCCACTCCACTTCCAATCCACCTCCCTGCTAATGTGCCTGGGAAAGCAGTGGAAGATGACCCAGGTGCTTGGGCTCCTATTTGCATGTGGTAGACCTGGATGAAGTTCCAGGATCCTGGATTCAGCCTGGTCCAACCCCGGCTGTTGTGAACATTGGAGGAGTGAACCAGTGGATGGAAGTGCTCTGTCTCTCCCTCTCTAACTATGCCTTTCAAATAATTCAAAATAAATCTTAAACAAAAATAAGACCCTTTCCCCCTAACTCCTAATTCAGGAAAAAATAGAAGTTATCTATAGATCTTATTGTATATGAGCTAGCCGACAAAAACTACCACAAAATAGGGAGCTATTGAGATGCCAAGAAATGTCCTTTACTTTCTCCTACCATTGGAAAAATTCAAAAGCATTATCGCCCTCTATAAACATTCAAGGCAAACCTGTCTGTTGGGTCCTTTAGTACCCTCCCCAGGTCAAGGACGGCGCCAGGTCGTGGGGTCCACGTCACCACATCAGACTTTTTCTTGATGAGATTGTTCAGTTCATTTGGGTCGTTTTTGATGTTTGTTTCCTTAATGTACCTGAGAAACAAGAGTATCTCCACATAAGAAAGCTTGCTCTCAGATGCATGGTCTGATTAGTACAATGACAGAACTTCTCTGTTTTCTCTACTTTCCCATTTCCCCATCCCCCTGTACTCTCTCCACAGAAAAATTAGGGCTACACTTGGGCTAATGATCCTAGTGGAGGAATTATTGGTCAAAGAAGTCATGATTATATTTCATTTTTAAGTATAAACACATGATATTGGGAGCTGAATTTGTATATCTAAGCCTATAATAAACAGGCAGGAAGTACGCATTCTTGTGTTTAACATTAATTAAATATATTGACTGATTTTTTATATATGTTATGCTAAGTGCTTAATATGAACTATTTGATTTTTCTCTTCACAGTGCCCCCAGAGACAACTACTATTATTATGCTTCTTTTACAGAGAAAGAAACTAAGGCTAAGAGCGATTAGTGACTTGCCTGTGGCCAGCCCTGCTCCAGTTCTCAGGACACAGGAAGCCAGAGGTTTGGCCCGCTGGGAGCCACAAGGAGGGACCTCTCTCCCTCTTTGGGAGCAAACACTGAGACGATTTTGCATTCAAACCCATTAATCATCCACCTGCTACAAAAGCACGCATGCACACACACACTCAGTTATAACCCATCCTGAGTTTTTAATTGCACTATTGATCAGAGCTGGCTACCTCCCAAACCCAATTCCAAAGCAGTCTTTCTCAAAAGCTGTAACTCTCTGGTTTCAATATCACACTGGAAGGCTTGGGTGGTGGAATAGGAGAGAAAAATGGAGAACCAGAGAAAGAATTTGCTACTGAGATTCACCTGCTATGGGTTGTCTACACAGTGCTGCTAAAGGGAACATTAGTCTCTTGAGCTACAACGTGGTGAGACTTGATATTTTTAGCAAGTTAGACACAGAAAACATAATGCCAGCATTTGTATTCCTACAGCATGAAGGTAATTTACTATCTTATCTCAGGACTAGTTTCCAGGTGCTAATGAGGACATCTCCCTGCACCCACAGATACCATCAGCTCATCCCTTCCTGCCTGTACTGCAGTCTTTAAAACTTGCCACCCCTTTGTCCTGTCTTCTTGCTACCTTTAGTCTTAAAATGCTTCACTAACTGGTCTCCGTGCCTTGATCTCCCCTTACAAATCCCACTATTATCCATTACTCTTCCTGAATCCAATGTGTTGTTCACAAAGTTCCATCATCACTCCTTAATGCCTCCCTTTGCCTCTAAAAGCATAATGAAACCACTATCTGGATGGCATCCTCTCAGAGGCCCTGTAGGTGCCGAGAGCAACACCTGCCAGTGATTAGAGAATGTGGCTTTTAATGACTGCGAATGGCAGCATCTCCTTACATGATCAAGGGACCTACCTGGCACCTCCACTTTTTTTTTAAAGATTGATTTAAAAGGCACCCCACCCAGGAGCACCATCCAGTTCTCCCACCCACATGGGTGGCAGGGACCCAAGCACTTGAGCCATCTTCCGCAGCCTTACCTAGAGCATTAGCAGGAAGCTGGATCGGAAGCAGGGTGCCTGAGAACCAAGTGGGTACTCCAGTATAGGATGCCAGTGTCACCACAGTGGCTTCACCCACTGCCCTGCAATGCCAGCCCCCTCGCACTTCCAAGTCCTTGCAGTCCAGTGTACTGCACATTTCTTCAGTCTAGATTCTCGCTCTCCACCCCAGTCCTCCCTTCCTAGGTTATCTTGATGACGTGCACACTGCCAGGATCAACACCCTCTTTTCCCTCCCACTGCACAAACACTTCAGCCTCCCTGGGGCATATCTGCCTATACCCCCTTTCCTCACCAGGCTCTTTATCAGTCTGCTTGCTTCCCTTCAGGAACAAACTCAGTCACGTGGCCTCCTCCACATCTGCCCTGTGCCCCCATGCGAGTCTTTATGTCCTTGTCAGTCCCTGCTCATTCACAGCCTCAGCCCCATTCGCAGCCCCTTGCCCACGCTAACACTGTTCTGTGTTACACTCGTCTTCCAGGGGACCTCAACTCTGAGGACAACCATTTCATTCTAGGGCCCCAGGGCCCAGTACAGCAACACTGGGTGAACCATAAATGAAGGAGTAATGAGCAGCACGGATGGACAAAAGTTTTTAACCTTAGGCCAATCTTTCTGACACAACTTGGAAGCTAGAGACAGCTAGATAACGTGAACAGAGAGAGCCCCAGGAAGCAGCCACACGGAACAAGTACACACAGTGTAGCCATCTTGTGGTAGAGCCAAGAACCTCAGAAGGACAGGACGTGACATCTAGAGAAATCAGGTAATTGGTCGCAATAAATCGTGCTTGAGCCAGAACCTACATTCCCTGTGCACTGCCCCCCCTTCTGTGCTTCTCTCCATAACTAGCAGAACTCATGGGCTTTTGTCACGGAAATTGACCTCAAGGACTGAGTTCTTTATGGCTCAATACATTCAGAGGGGCTTAGTCATGGTTTTGACGTGTTCCCTGCCTGCGCTTCGGCAGTTCCTGCCCTGTGTTCACAAAACATTTCCAGTGACTGCATCTTCCAGGGGCTGTTTGTGAAGCTGGTGGCACTTGCTCAGAACATTATAGAAGGAGGGCTGAGTCACTGTATTTGCTTAGGATCAAATAAATTCTATATGTAATTAGCAGAACCTCATAAAAGTGCAGGTTAAATATCTAAGATTATAACATTTGAAATGGTAAAATACTGCTTCAAATATTTTTTTAAAGATTTATTTATTTGAAAGAGTTACACAGAGAGAGTTACACAGAGAGAGGTCTTCCATCCACTGGTTCACTCCCTAGTTGATCACATGGCCGGAGCTGCGCCACTCCAAAGCCAGGAGCCAGGAACCTCCTCCAGGTCTCCCACATGGGTGCAGGGGCCCAAGGACTTGAGCCATCTTCTACTGCTTTCCCAGGCAACAGCAGAGAGCTGGATCAGAAGTGGAGCAGCTGGGACTCGAACCAGTGCCCATATAGGATGCTGGCACTGCAGGCAGCAGCTTTACCTGCCACGCCACAATGCCAGCCCCTCCAAATATTATAAAATGGATACATATAGAGTATATATTGTTTCATGAGATAATTAAATCTATAAGATGTATATACAATTTAAACATACTAGCTTTAACTACCATGGCCTTAAGGTGCTTAAGAATAAGTCTGGGGGCCGGCACTGGAGCGTAGTGGTTTTTTTTGTGTAAAGCCGGTGCCCGCAGTGCTGGCATCCCATATGGGCGCTGGTTTGAGTCCCGGCTGCTCCACTTCTGATCCAACTCTCTGCTATGGCCTGGGAAAGCAGAATATGGCCCAAGTCCTTGGGCCCCTGCACCTGTGTGGGAGACCCAGAAGAAGCTCCTGGCTCCAGATTGGTGCAGCTCCAGCCATTGTGGTCATCCTGGGAGTGAATCAGCAGATGGAAGACTTCTCTACCTTTGCCTCTCTATAACTCTGCCTTTCAAATAAATAAATAAATAAAACTTTAAAAAAAAAGTCTGTCGCCTTTTTTGTTCTTCAATATTTTACTATTTTTGAGAGGGTATGGTTCCATGAGTTTTATGTATAGATGGAATGTATAGATTCATATAACCACTGCTACAGTCAGTATTCAGAACGTTCAGCACCCCCAAAACTTCCTCAGGTTCCCCACTTTGTGGTCAAATGCTCCCTCAGCCCCTAACCCCTGACAATAGCCAGTCTGCATGGTTTCTGACCAGAAATCCACTTGTTGGCTTATAACCTGTATGCAATGCATTCTTTTTATCTGGCTGATTTGAAGATTATTTTTATCTTTAGTTTTCAGTACATTTTGCGGTACTGAGGTGGCAATTTCTTTGAGTTTTCCCCATTTAGTGTCTTCTGTGCTTCTAGAATCTAAATTTATGGTACTTAAGCTTGGGAAGGGGTCAGCCATCATTTCTTCATCCCGTTTTTCCTCTGAGATTCCAACGTCATGATTATTAAACCTTTAAGTATGTGCTACACATTTATAGCTGTGTTCCTACTTTTTCTCCTCTTGTTGGTCATAAATTCAGTAATTTCTAATGATCTATCCTCAAGTTCACCTACTCTTTCCTTTTTCAATTCCATTATGAATTTGAGTTTCTCCATTACATTTTTTGTTGCGGTTTGTGTATTTTTCGGCTCTGAAATCCCCATTTGGTTCTTTGTCTCTTCTCCCTCTGCTGTGACTTTCTGCATTTGCATTCATGTCAAGAGCTTTGCCATTGGATCGTGACCAAAATCGTGGCTTCACTTCTGTCTTCCCAAGAGGTCCTCCATCCTTGTCTTCATAGGCTTCACAGCTGTTGTTTTTTCCCTTATACAACGTTGAGATTTTCCTTGTTTTGTTGAATAGTTTTAGGATTTTATCCCGGCCACTTTGAATATTATCTTATGAAACTCTGTCTGCTAAAACAAAAACCTAAACTTCCTCTCCAGGACCTCACCCAGACTCGGTCAGTTTCGGTTCATGCTGCAACTTCTTTCCACCCTGTGTGGGAGGGTCGGTCCCAGGTCAGTTCTGTTCTCACCATTTTCATGCAGAACAAAAACCAGACGGAAAACCAAAGCAGCCCAGAAGATTTCTCTTACTGATGCACAGGGCTCCCTCTCTCCAGACCAGCATCAGAAGGCTCCTCTTGGGCTCCTCCTGCCTCAGCCGCTGTGCCAGGCCAGCTTCAGGCTACCACTGAGAGCAGGCGGGCAGCCACGGGGATTCTGAAAATGGTAGTGTCACCACTGGTTCACTGCTCCTTGAATTCAGTTCTCTTTTCTTTCCCTCGTCTGCTTGCCTGCTAGCATCCGTGGTCCACAATCCTTTGGTAGTTGCTCCATGTACACTGTGCAGGGTTTTTAGCTGCCATCAGTGAGAGAGACTAGAAAGATTCACTGTGTTTGCCTTCATCGGAGCTGGAATTTGTGTTGTTCATGTTAGGATGCAGATTGCAATGCGATGGCTTATCCTTGAGAGCATGATCCGATGCCACTACCCTGACACATAGCTGAAATGCTCAATCATCTCAATGATCTTCTAGCATCTTTTTTTTTTTTAAAGTTTTTTGTTTTCCACACTTTGCCCTGAATCATTAATGTTGTACTTCAAAGCTGAAATTTATTCAGAGAAAAAAAAAGATATCTGAAAATTGTTTTTAACACGTTAGATGAATATTTAATGACTCCACTGCTAAGAAGTACAAGACCATTTTAAGCACCTGGCGCGTGGCTGGAGAGAATGTAATAAAGGAATACTTAAACTGGAGAGGCCCCTGCACAGTCACGACACAAGATAATCCACAAATGAAGTTCATCAGCTTGAGTTCGGTCCAGAAACTCATGATCCATGAAGTAGGTGCCTCATAGCCCTTCCTCAGCAGAGCTGCTCAGAGCCGGGCTCACAGAGAACTCTAACCTGATACGAGAAAGTGACACTAAGTCAACTTCCGGCTTTTAATTCCTTAGGGGATCAGAAAATCAAAAAGGAGGAAGAGGCTGCTTGTACAGGTTTGCTACAGTAAGGAGCAATGTGGTGGCCCTTGGGCAACACTGTTGCGAACAGACTGAACCGGCAGTGCCCAGAGCTGTTGGGTGCAGAGGCAAACTGTTCAGCAGACAATATTGTGTGATGCTGTAGCCTCCTTCATAGACTGTGGGGGATGTCAGATGGTTACACCAGATTCTGAGACTTTGAAATGGTGATCCTGTAGGACCAAAGATAAATGATACCTAACATTCTTTCTGAGAAGCCAATTCTACCAAAATCATAAAAGCTTCATGTGTAGAGACATAAACTATGGCTGCATTGAAAACTCTGCTACCTAGCACCACCTTCAAGTACCCAAAAAGTCAAGTTCCTGGAAGTTCCACATAGCCGAGTGATAGTTTTACTTTATTGATAGGTCTGTGATGCTAAAAGAGTGGATATTGCGTGCTCCCATCACAAAATATCAACAAGAGGTAAGGTGTATGTTAGCTAAATTTAGTCACTCCACAATCTTTATATAGTTCAGAACACTCACATGCACATGATAAATATATATCATTTTCTGTGTCATTTTCTTAAAAATTTAGGGAGAAATTGTACATTCTATTTTGCATACCAAGTCCTTGGAATCCCATGTGTATTTTCAATTTGCAGTGTATCTCAATTCAGATATAAATTTGCATCAGAAATACTTGATGTGTATTTAGAGTTCATAAAATAATACATCAAAAAGTAGATTCACATGCCCCAGTTGTTCTAACATATTTAAAAGTTTTCCAGTAGCAAAAATAGCAAAAACTCACTTTTATGTAATATTCAAATGCACATCAACAAAGCTGGCTCATTCTTTTGGAAAAATTGATTTGACTTTGAAGCAAAAACATTAGTTGCAAAACTTTGTCTACCCAAGTTTAGTAATTTCACTAACTTTTGAATCAACTCATCAATATTAACATTGAATTCCAAAAAATATTATATAAGTTGAAAACCAGCTCTAAATTATCATACTTACAAAACATTCTGAATTTTTTCTTTTCTGTCAATACTATCAATATAAAATCAAATCGTTTGCATATTGATTTTAGAAAAATGTATAAAATCATTATCATTGATTTACATTATGAAAAGTTTGACTTTTAACATAGCGATACTTGACATGAGTTGAACTGTGTTCCCCTGAAAAAAGACATGTTAGAGACCTAACCCCCAGAACTTCAGAATGCATCCTTATGTGGAAATAGGATGTTTATGGAGGTTATTCAAGTTACAATGAGATCATAAGCGTGGTTCTGATGCAATATGACTGGTGTCCTCACATGAAAGAAAGAAAAAAAGAAAAAAAAAAAGGCTTGAACACAGAGATATGCACCCAGGGAGGATGCTGTGTGAAGAGGCACAGGGTAGAGATGGCTACCTACAAACTCAACAGTGTCTAAGGCTACAGAAACCAAGAGAAAGGCCTGGCAGACCTTCCCTGGCAATTGCAGAGGGACCACAGCCCCATCCACCCTTTATCTCAGGGTTCCAGCTTCAAGAACTGCAAGACAATATATTTTTGTTGTTTTAAGCTACCCAGTTTGTGGTACTTTGTTACAAAAGCCATAGGAAACTATCTCGATACTTAAACCTGCATGTGACCAGGTCACAGATAATCTTGTTCTCTAATCTGAGTTTCAGATTGAGTTTTTCCATATGCACTGTGATATCAATGAGAAAATGTAGGCCATACAGCCAGATTTATCTTTGGTTGCTGAACACTCAGCGTTTCTTAAAACCTTGACTTGGAATTATTAATATAGTCCTCTGGTCAGCTTAACCAGTGTCATTGGTGATGAGCACAGGACCGTCAAATTCATCAACTCTACTTCTTTCAACAGTTCCTATATCGGTAATGATTCACATCATTTACAGAAGTTATATTACTGTGAGAAATTATGCCAGACACCCAAAGTATGGGTGTCATAACACTTCTATTCTGGGACACAGTAGGGCAGGGAGAGAGAACTTTGGGGCTAGGCACACCAGCACACATTCCTCAACTCCAGTCTTTTCAACAGGATCAGATCCCCCCTCTGCAGAAAAAGACTTAAAAGCACCTTCCTCTCCGTGTGATTGGCATTAATCTGGATGAAGTGGCTCAAAGCCCTCAGCTTACTTCCTGACTCATAGACGCATCCTGAATAAATGTCAGGTGCCTTCCCCTCTCCTGGGGCTCTCTCAGCGAGTTTCTTTCTAAGCCAAGCTGGCTGCCCAGTGTGGCTTTGATCCATGCCCTCTGTTCTCTGGCAGCCTGTTAGAAAGTCCTTGGCTCCTGCTAATCCCCTTTCTTTCTCACTTCACATTGCATTCACAGCAGAGGCACTCATGCTGCCATACATTTAACTTCTTATGTGTAAAGATATGGCACAAAACGTCTAGCCGTACTTGTCTGATGGGTGGGATTCCACAAAATATCCAGCAAAGGGACAATAAATTCGGGGTTGCAGGTCCTTCACCAGCTGAGCCTTGTAATGCAGGAGTTTCTTCCTTTCTGTTTTAATGAACTGGGCTTTCCATTCCTCTGAAATGACAGGGTTTATATTAGAGTCTGTTGTTCAGACACTGCAGAAAAGCAAAGGTTCTAGTAGCTTAGAACTCTTTCAGGAGGTAAAACTAACAGACCACAACCACAGCGGAGATAGGGTGAGGCTCCATGTTAGTAGTGGAGAATTCTCCCCTAGGTTAATGTTGAGAATTTTAGCCATGGCACTGAGCTGCCTCCTTGAGTGTGAAGACTCCCTTGGACCCTAGCTGAACACACGGGGAGGAACACAGTCATACCTTGCAAACACACAGTTCTCAGGGTACTATAAATCTTTACTAACAGGGAAATGGATTTTAGTAGGTTATGGAAGTTAGTCACGTTCATCACAGCCTGGCAATGCACCATGATTAACAGCATGAAAGCTAAAGACAGACTTAGGGGCAAAATCCACAGACTGGTTGTGCATCATGGGCAAGGTACCCAACATTTCTACACCTGCATCCTCCACTGCAAATGGGACCATGATGCCAACTTCATAAGGCTGCACGTTTGCTCATCTGTTCTTTCAAACAATGTTGTGTACCTACTATGTGCCAGCCCTGATTCTCGGTCACAGAGGTGACCAAGACAAAGCAGGCTCCTGCTCTCAGGCAGCGTTTGTTACAAAGAAGCAAATAAGGAACAAGTTAATAAATAAGGTCACTGCCAAGAGCGATGTGCTACAAAAGAACACAGGGCAATAGGCTAGAGAGTAGCTGAGGTGAGGCGCATGGGATGCAGGAGCTTCATTAGCTGGGTGGTCAGTGAAGAGATGGTGATTGTTCCTGGCTGCACAGACATTGGGCACACACAGGAGCATGCCAGGCTATGGACACATGAGCTGGGAACTGTAGTTTATAATGCTTACAAGCCTGGTTTCTCAACAAGAGTGTGTAAGCTTCTTGTGAGGAGGACAATGTCTCTGTACTTATTCTGCAAGCTACTTTGTATCACTTTGATATAAAATATTATCAGGGGCAGGTGTCATGGCACAGTGGGTTAAGTCACTGTTTGTGAAGCCTGCATCCCATATTGGAGTGCCAGTTTGAATCCCAGAGACTCTGCTTCCAATGCAGCTCCCTGCTAATACAGCCTAGAAGGCAGCACATGAGGGCTCAGGTGTTTGGGCCCCTGCCACCCATGTGGGAGACCTGGATGGAGTTCCAGGCTCCTGGTTTTAGCCTGGTCCAGCCCTGGCTGTTGTAGGCATTGATGGAAGATATCTACTCAGCTCTCTCTGCCCTTCAATTAGGTGAAAATTTAAAAAATTTTAAACATCTAAAATATTACCGGTAAATTTTCCACCACTGAAAGTCATTGGAAAGCCTGATGCTCCTCCAGCAAAATCACTCATCATTAGAGCAACTTTCGCAGGCAGCCTTCCCCCATTGGGTCTGGTGCAGTCCACTGTATTGAGTATTTTGTGACCTGAGGAGAAAATACCGGTATGTGTATTCAAGGTAAAATCATGAACATTGTTGGTTTGGCAAGCCAAGAAAGTCTTCCATGTAGTCTGTTTAATCGGATTACTTGATTACAGAACAATTGCTGATGTCTAAGGACAAAGAGCAAGATTTCAAAACCTAAAGTTTTCAATAGCATACACTTTTCAGTAATAAACTATTTATAATACAGCATACAAGCAAATACATTCATTTAAGTCAGTGGATTCTGGGTGTCCTATAAAGAAAGTCAGCTTAATCCCACTTCACATGGTAGACAGATGGTTCTCCCCAATCTCTGTCTCCAGATGTTGAGCCTAAAGGATCCAGGGAAGAGTCATTGGATCAACACAAATCCCACCCCCCTTTATGATGTAAAAGTCATATTCCAATTATTGTTGGTGCTGTAAGGACATCTCATATCAAAAGCACAAGCATATGATTAGGTTACATGTTATTTCAAGAAGAAAGTGACTGAGACATTTATTTAGTAAAGCTAGTTTTGAAGAAGTTACTATAGATAAAATATATTTGTTGATTTATGAAAAAAGCCTGCACTTGTCACTACACTGAGAATTTGTTCTCTGGAAAGAGTGAAAAATAGCTCATTTTTCTTAGAGAAGGATGTACTGTACACTATACCTCAAAAATGAAGATGGAAGAAGATGAGCATAGAGTGAAATTTTGCATAGCGATTCCTATCCTTCCTACCGAGAGTATTTTTCATTTTTCATTGTCCATGAGGATAGGAAAGTACCTTTGTACTCCACAATAATGCAAGTGTCCATCTCGGGATGAACGCCATCCATCAAGATCATGAACCGAAGATTTTTGTCTACCTGGAATTTAACAATAAAATCAACAACCGTGTGTGTCAGTTTGGCTTTTAAGTCATATTTGAGGTCATCACCTCTTCTGGAAAAACTGTTCATTAGATCTTAAATCTATTGGAATCTCCTTATTCAGAACTGAATTATTAGCCTGCTTTATAAAATTATACTATCAATAAATGGAAGCATTATCTTTTGCCAAGGACAGTTATGTCTAACATTTGAAGCTTAAATAACTATTGCATTTACCTAGTGCCAAGGCCATTTTTTCCTCTTAAAGTGGCTCCCCACCTAAAATTCACCTCTCAAAGCATACATGGAAAGTGTGGCAACATGACAGATCTCTCACCTGCTGCCATACTCCAAATGGCACAACATTGATGTTAGTCAACTGGACACCACTCTGATTCAGATTCCAAAAGACAGGTCTTTCCGTGTTTCCAACATAAATGGGAATATCTGGTCGTCTCTCAGAAAGCTGCTTCAGTGTAGGGTAACTAGAGTCAGAAGAACGGAGAAATTGAAAGATAGAAAAATACTACTGTCTGGAAGAAGATGCAGTTTGTTACTTATGCTAACACATTGACTGAAAAGCAAGGAATTGAAAACCAGACTGGATTCCAGAAAAGAGATTCTGCTCATGCTTGGCTGTAATGCTGAGGGGACTCTCGGGAGGTTCCTCTTCATTGCCAGAACATACCACAGAGAATACCTCAACCACAGTGCAAGAGCCATCTCCCACATGGACGCTGCCTTGAGTAAGGGTAAGGGTGAAAGATGTGGCATGGGGAAGTTCAAGTTGACAGCTGAAGTGCTCCATGGTCTGCATTTCTCACTCCTCAAAATAGTACCTTCCAGGCAGAGAGAGGATGGGGGCAGGGTAAGAGGGCACGAAGACTGTCAATATGCAAAAGGTACTATTTACCCTTAAGGGGCTGATGTTGTGGTGCAGTGGGTTAAGTTGCCACCTATGACACTGGCATCACATAGTTGCTGATTCCAGTTCTGGCTGTTCTACTGCCTATCCAGCTTGCTGCTTGTGTGCCTGGGAAAGCAGTGGAAGATGGTCCAAGTACTCAGGCCCCTGCACCCACATGGAAGACCCAAGATGGAGTTTCCAGACTCCTGGCTTCAGCCTAGTCCAGCCCCTGTCATTGCAGCCATTTGGGGAGTGAACTAGTGGATGGAAGATCTCTCTAACTCTGCCTTTCAAATAACTAAGTCTTAAAAAAAAAAAAAAAAGAAAAGGAAGGAGTCAGGGTAAGAAGCTAGGCAGCATAAAAAAAATTTAGTATAGAAGAAAACCATACTTAGCAATTTATAGTCATCCCAACTCCATACATAATCATGCAAATATTTTGAACACCTGCATACAATAAGACAACATTCATTTATTAAGAATTCATTATATAATTATATAAGAGTTGTTATTGTGCTGTTGGGGTAGTAGAAAGATGAAGAATAAGCAAATAGTTGGCTAAATAAAATCAGTCGGTTTTCTCTCCCAAAACAAAGGATTCTTTGAAAAGGTCTTCAATCCCTGGGTCAAGCAAGCAAATCCTCTCTTCTGATGACTCAGTGCATATGCAAAAATCGTGTGTTAACTGAAAGTTCTTCCTCATCCTTATTGCCTGCATTAGGGAACTTCCAGTTGGATCCTCAGTATCCTATTTCTCTGGCTTCTGGCTTCAATAAAACAGCTGGATGCGTGGACTCAGGATTAGGAAGCTTAGCATTCTGTGTTAGGGAGCTCTACACGTATGAGAGGTTGGAAAACCAGGATGTGTGAACTGGATCTCACCACCTGCTTATTTTTCATACAGCTTTGTACATTTCTACATGGTTGTAAAGAAAATCAAAGGGCCAATGTTTGGTAATACACAAAAATTATGATATTCAAATATGATGATGTAAATGGTTTCCTGGAACACAGTTAGCTTTGTCCTCATTTGGGACTTTGTGCTGTAACATCAGAGTAGTTGTGACACTGACTACACTGGCTTGCAAAGCCTAAAACAGTTAAACTCTGACCCTCTGTAAGAAATATGTGCCGATTCCTCCCCTAAATCCTGAGCCAAGAAAGGAAATCACCTGTGATGGCGCTTCAACATCGACTTGCACCAAGTTGCCTGCTCTGGCTTGGGTTTGCTTTGTCCTCCAAGAGTTTCAGTGTTGAAGGCTTGGTCCCCAGGGTGGCCATGAGAGGTGGTGGTGGGACCTTTAAAAGGTGGGCACTCATAGGAGGCATCCGTGTCATTGCAGATGCTGTCCTCGAAAGGGATTAAAGTAGTGCCCAGGGGCCCCGAGTTCACTCTCAAGAGCATTATGAAAAAGCAGGCCTGTGCCTTCCAGGACTCTGGCTTCCTGTGTAGCAATGTGGTCTCCCATCCCAGCACACACTGCCTATTGTGATAGCTTCCACAATCAGGCTTTCGCCAGAAATGAGCTCTTGCTGGTGCCACGCCCTTGGACCCCTCCCCCCCCCCAGAACCGCAGGCTAAATAAACATCTCTCCTCTGTCAAATTAGGCAGGCTAATAAGCCTGCCTCAGGTATTTCATTATAGTAACACCACCAAAAAAAACCCCAGGCCAACATATGGCCTGAGGGTGAGAAGTGGGAGGGTTAACAGTCCCCTCTTCCTTACCCACACCCCCAGTGGTATAAAATGTGGATGCACTTTGAAAATTGAAGTTGCTATGCCAATGTAAGTTTTTTATCTTTAGTGGTCTTTCACCATCCGGACTGAACCTACTTCCAACGGAGCAGCGATCACAAAAGAATCTGAAAGCGCCTTTGCCCCACTGCAGTCTTGGGCTTGAATGCTTGGGGCTCCATTACCTCAGGTGGTCTGAGTGCATGTGACTGATGTAAATTAGGTCGGCTTGGCACAGCCTCTCCAGCCAATCAGATGGAGGCTCATGTAGCAACCACCATCCCCGGGCAAAAGCAGGGCCAATTAACCAAGGGTCAAACACCATCCTCTTGTCTCCCAACTTGAGGTCCATGCAGGCATGAGTGAGATATGTTATCTGTCAGAAGAGAGTGAGATTCCTATTACTGAATCATTACTGGTCAGCAGCCGTGAACTGATAAGTCTTGCCTGGTGAGCTGACAGGACACCAGGTTCCTCTGCAAATGGTGGCAGATAATGACTTACAGATAAGACAGGCCAGTGAGGTCCAGACCCAATCCCCATTCCTTTGCCATGGCCCGGCACACTCCTAGACAAAGAATGTATCCAGAACAGAAATAAAGTAATAAAGTAATAGCGATTTTGTGTGGACAGCCAGCCAAGCGGGAGAGGAGAGGTCAAGGATGATACAATTCATTTTTATGATGCTTATTCTGGGTGGGATCTCATGTGTTTCCCAAAGAGAACAACCACCACAGAGACACAAACTTCTCGAATATACTGAGAAGCACAGTTTTGAGCACTTGCTTCTCGCAAATTGTTGAAGTATTTTCTCTGGAAAAAAAAACTCTTCTAAAACTGGAAAAACACACAAGAAGTTTGTGGAAGGTCTTATGGCAACATGCAGAAAAACCAAGTAGACATTTGCTATGGTTTGGACGTGTTTGGTCCCCCCCGACAAGGGGAATGTGCTGGAAGCTTGAGCCCCACGCTAGTGATATGGAGTGGAGGCAAACCTTTAAGAGGTGGGTCCTAGAGGAAGTCCTTTTGGGGGGCATCTCACTGGGGAGGGGTTTCCGAAGTTCTCTCATGACCTGTCTAGTCCGCTTGAGAACCGGTACTTCCCGTGAATCTTTTCCCCACACACTGCTCACCACTCCTGTGTGTTTCCCATCATGTGTGCCATCTACCATGAGCTCCTCAGCAGGGCCAAGCAGATGCAGCACCATGCTTGCGAATCTCCAGAACCGTGAGCTAAATAAACCCCTTTCTTTAGGAAGGGCCAGCCTTGGGTATATTTTATGATGGCAACAGAAGGGGGAGTAAGACACTATTATGTCTGCCAGTAACCCAGCATCCAGGGGAATTGCTATCCTCCCTCCAGTAGCTTTCATGACTCTCCTTTGAGTCTTCTTCTTGAATTTTGTGGGTCTTTTCTGGATACGTTTTCTTGCAATCCCTGCCAACTTCTAGGGAATCCTTCTAATGTTGGCCAAACAGTTCAGAGTGACTTTATCCTATGTTCTAATCAGCTACTTCAAAGGATATTCAAGGCGATATGGAGATAAGTATATAAGATAACATGAACATCTTACTTGTACTAAATTGTACTTATTTTTTTATATTTTTTATTTATTTGACAGGTGGAGATATAGACACAGAGAGAGAGAGACAGAGAGAAAGGTCTTCCTTCCGTTGGTTCACTCCCCAAATGGCCGCTATGGCCAGCACTGTGCCGACCCTAAGCCAGGAGCCAGGTGCTTCTCCTGGTCTCCCATGTGGGTGCAGGGTCCCAAGCACTTGGGCCATCCTCCACTGCCTTCCCGGGCCACAGCAGAGAGCAGGACTGGAAAAGGAGCAACTGGGACTAGAATCTGGCACCCATATGGGATGTGGGCGCTGCAGGCAGAGGATTAACCTAGTGAGCCACAGCGCCAGCCCCTGCGCTTGTGTTTTAAGCACACTATAACTGAATTGCTGCCTTACCTGAACTTCTCCAAAAGCCAAATCTTCAGGAGACCTGGGCTCAAAATCCCAGGGGTTAGGAGGATTCAGTTCTAGAAGTGAAAGTCCATTGTTTTCATCCATTTCAACCACTAGAACCAAAGGAGAAAAATTCTACATTAATAACAAAATGACTTTAAAAGCATCCCCAAGGGGCTGGTATTGTGGTGTAGCAGGTAAGGCTGATTCCTGCATCCCATGTGGGTGCTGGTTCGAGTCCCAGCTTCTCCATTTCTGATCCGGCTTCCTGCTAATGGCCTGGGAAAAGCAGCAGAGAATGATCCAAGTACTTGGGCCCCTGAACCCACATGAAGCTCCTGGCTCCTGGCTTTGGCCTTGCTCAGCCCTATTGTGGTCATCTAGGGAGTGAACAATGGATGGGAGATCTTTCTCCCCCTCTCTCTGTAACTCTTTCAAATAAATAGTTTTAAAGAAAAAGTAACATTGGCCGACGCCGCCGCTCACTAGGCTAATCCTCCACCTTGTAGCACTGGCACCCCGGGTTCTAGTCCCAGTCTGGGTGCTGGATTCTGTCCTGGTTGTTCCTCTTCCAGTCCAGCTCTCTGGAGAAGCACCTGGCTCCTGCCTTTGGAACAGCACAGCGCACTGGCCGAAACAGCCATTTGAGGGGTGAACCAAAGGAAAAGGAAGACCTTTCTCTTTGTCTCTCTCTCTCACTGTCCACTCTGCCTGTCAAAAAAAAGAAAAGAAAAAGTAACACTGAAATAGAAGTGAAATGAGTGGTACAAGTACAGAGAGTAGCAAAAATGAGTGGGAGGTCCCAGCCAAAGGCCCTGCAGACAATGGCTCAATAGCGAACCAATAGATGGGAATTCTGTTTCTCTCTTCCTCTATGCCTCTCAACTTTTTAATTCTGAAAATAGTACACCAAGAACATTTGCTGAATCACTTTATTAACGGTCTGAGCTTCCCCCTTTCCACACTGTCCTGAGTTACACAGCTCTCCTTCTCAGTCTTAGTACTACTCTGCTCCACACATGGCACCTTGATTTGGAAAATTTAGTAGAGGATTATCTCAAAGCAAGCTAAAACTAAAATGAATCACTCTTTCATTCTTTTTTTTCTTTTCAAGATCTATTTACTTATTTGAAAGTCAGAGTTACACAGAGAGAAGGAGAGGCAGAGAGAGAACGGTTCACTCCCCAGTTGGCTGCAACAGCTGGAGCTGTGCCAGTCAGAGCCAGGAGCTTCTTCCGGGTCTCCCACATGGGTGCAGGGGCCCAAGGACTTGGGCCATCTTCCACTGCTTTCCCAGGCCATAGCAGAGAGCTGGATGGGAAGTGGAACAGCCAGGTCTCGAATTGGTGCCCATATGGGATGCCAGCACTGCAGGCGGCAGCCTCACCCACTACGCCACAGTGCCAGCCCCAACACTCTTTCATTCTTAAAAGAGCACTTCAAAACCCAGGAGGGGGTTGCTCCATATCTCCTTCCCTGGCCCTGCAGAGCCTTGCTGCCTTTCTCTAGCCTCCTCTACCCACACTACGCTGCAGGAGGCTCACCTGTGGCCCCATCACCCTTCACTTCTGTTGTGTTGGGCCACTGGGAAGCTCCGTCAGGAGACTAGGCATGGTTAGCCAGTTTACTCCTCCAGCGCTCTCCCTGCGTGGCCACTCCATTCCAGCTGTGCTGTGGGCCCGGGCAGGTACCATGGCTTTTCTCATGGGAGGCAACGCTTCCCGATTCTCTTTCTCCAGGCTCTGCAAAATGCTCCCTCCCCGGCTAACTCTGGGCTTGAACACAGATGACCTGGCTGCTCTCAACTCCAGGGTACTGCACCTTCCCCTGTGGCTCCTCCCACAGCCACACCTTACAAAAACTCCTTTTGTAAATACAAGGCTACTTTACAAATGGAATTTAAAAATGGAAAATGGAATTGAAAGATTGTTTTAGTGCAAAAACACATTGGAAAATCACACACGAGAGGTCTTCAGAAAGCTCATGAACACACATAGACGTAGGCATGCATTTCAAACTTTTATTATGCCAAAATAAAACTTTTCATTTCAGTTTTCTACTTCAAACTGTTGAAATGTCCTTGTAGAGCTGGCTAAAACTATACCCATAGGTTATGCAGTTGCGAATTCACCTGAACATGGACGGAAAATAGTTTTCTAGAGGCAGACATTTGAACTCACAGTTAAGATAACCCACACCAGAGGGTCTGAGTTCAATTCCCAGTTCCTGATTCCAGCCTCCTGCTAACTCAGATCCTGAGATGCAAAGGTGATGGTTCAAGTAATTTGGTTTCTGACACTCGGTGGGAGACCTGGACTGAGTGTCCATCTTTCTGGTGCCCAGCTATTTCAGGTGTTTGGGGGAATGAACCATCAGATGGGAACACTCTCTCTCAAATTTTCACTCTCTCAAATTTTCAAGAACAAAATTCTTCACTGCATTTATACTGAATATGTACAGAATTTTTCTTATAATTGTTCCCTAAGCAATATGCCACAACAACTATTTACATAGTGCTTACACTGTAGTAGATATTACAGATAACCTAAAGATGATTTAAAGCATATGTTGGTTATATACAAATACTACACCATTATATATAAAAGACTTGAACATCCATGGACTTTGCTATCTGTGCAGGGTCCTGCAACAAATCCCCCCTCCCAGATTCCAAAGGATGACTGTCTGTGCTTCTCAAGTCATCCTAACTTGAAGATGTAACCCACTTCTCTTTTGTCCTTCTATCCAATACAATGATAAGTAGTATTCTTAAGATCTACTGCCTTCTGCTATGGCCCAGGAGTGCAGTGGAGGATGGCCCAAGTACTTGGGCCCTGCGCCCCATGGGAGACCAGGAGAAGCACCTGGCTCCTGGCTTCGGATCAGTGAGATGCGCCGGCCACGGCGGCCATTGTAGGGTGAACCAACGGCAAAGGAAGACCTTTCTCTCTGTCTCTCTTTCTCACTACCCACTCTGCCTGTCAAAAAAAAAAAAAAAAAAAAAAAAGAAAAAAGATCTACTGCCTTTCTACTGCCTTAGAAGATTTCAAGTATTCTCACTATATACCCATAAAAGGTAACTCTGGGAGGTGTGCTAATTAGTTTCATTTTGGTGATTATTTCAACAGTGTATCAGAACACTATGCTGTATCCCTTAAGTACATATAATTTTTATTAGTCAATCAATTATGCCTCAGTAAGGCTCGGGGGGTAGGGGGGTGAATAGCTGTCCTGTCTAAATCCCTAGGAGTGAGCCCCTCTAGGGGAGTGGAGGACATGTGACCGTGACCAAGGAAACCTACACACAGATCTTGTGTTGTTGACGTCATACATCTCAAACGATATGCTGGGTACAAGGGTGTTCACTTTATCTTGAAAGCCTTTTAAACAGTGCTTAAGAAATTTAATACAACCAGTTTTTTATTACTATCTGCTTACTGGTCAAACAAAAATGGCCTTCTTAATAAAGTCAGGAATACACCAAAAATGTTTGCTAGAAACATTATCACTTAAATGTTTTGAAAATGCAAACAGTCTAGTAAAAATGCATATTAATGTCATTTCCAGGTCGGATGTTTGCTGGAAATCAGGGCCATGAACTAGGAAGAATTCTGGCTTTGGAAATATTTGCGTTGGATTCCTAATTCTGCTGCTTAGTAGCAGCAGCCTTGGCTTCTTAACAGTATCTTAGGCCTCAGTTTCCAGATCTTTGAAATGGACATATGATACACACCTCATAGAGTTATTGTGGGAACCAAATGTGTTGAGTAACTTGTATGGCACAAAACAGGCATCTAACAAAGAATGGCACCATTATAGTAATTACTTTGCACTTACAGGAATGATTAGAGTTAAAAATACATTTTAGGGCAAGCAAACCTATATATTAGCAAAGCCGAGTTGGAAAGCACAATGGTATTCGCGAAGACCCGCAGAAAGCTCTTGCACTGATAGACACCCTGAGGACTGCTCTTCGTAGTTTTTCTTTCTCAGGAGAAGCAGAGCAAGGGTCTGTGACCTTGAACTATTGTTCTGCAGCAATAACCATAAAGGTCTCTATGCTGTTTGAACAAAAATGAAGCGGATATAGGTGGTGAAGAAGAATGTAACTTCTGTTAACTCCCCGACTCCACAAATAAAGTAGTTACAAAGTACTACCCTTATTTGGATCTCACAAGGTTAAATTTTAATTGCCAGAAAAATGAAGAATGGTGAATTGGAACAAAAGTGTACAGAAAACTATTAAACCGAATCATTGAAGATTGACATTGGGATAGCCAAGAAGAAGGCCTTATTGAATAATTGCTCGATATACTCTAAAAGATAAATTGGCTGACTACCTAACTAATGGGACTATGGCAACTGGTTGGCTAAGTGCTCCAGCTGATGAAAGACACACAGAAAAGAACCTGAGCCCTGAAAGTGTATGATAAAATAGAATATCACATATAAAGAGGATTTAACAGCAAAGGAAGTGATCCTGATGAAAAACCTGGATACATATGTAAAATGAAAAAGTTCTAACACCAAAACAATTTGGCAAGTGTATATTGCCAGACAGTTGTTAACAAAAAATTAGCATATTTGGTAGACAAACATGAGTGAAAAATAATGAAATAGAATTTTTATCTCAAATGACAAAAATATGAAAGACTAAAAATGCAGAGTCAGTAAGGTATGGGGGGAAAAGTCTACTCATTCTATTGACAGGAGCAAAAATCAGTCTATCCCATAAAATGAATAATGCAACTCATATTAAAGAATAGATAAATGGATAATAGCATCATTAATTAATTCATTTAGGATATCAAGTGAAAGTTGTGTTGGACACACTTTTCAGTTCAAGTCCTATTTCATGCATAGCTTTTTTTTTTATTCCCTTTATTTCCAGTTTCCATTCTCATTTTTGTATCCTACTGAGTACCATTTTGAGTACTTGTGTATTGGGTCCACAGTCAGTGTCTCACTTTTTCAGTCAATAACCATGAAGTTAGATCCATCCATGTTGCCATGTGTACCCCAGCCCACTTCTCCTAGCTGCATTGAGGGATCCTTCATAACATTTTATCTATTCACTCTCTGGGCAGAGCCGGGAGGACTGTCATTCTTCCAT